GGCCCGCCTCCTCCCTTCAGCCTGATCCACTCAGCCTCTGGCACAGCAGCACAGCAGGCTGAGGCTGTGGGAGGAAGCAGTAAATGCTACACGCACAGGTTATATTACTAGAAATTATGTAAGCAGTAAGAGTCCGTGGCATGGGCTGCTGTCATTTGATAACGTGTGGAAGGGGGGAAGCCAGGTACCTGTGATGAGTGCTGGGTAAACCAGCAGTACCCTTGTTTGGTTCTGCAGCCCGACCCAAAGGCCATGTGACTCTTGGTGGGGGTAGAGGGTGGGATGACACTGTGGATAGAACTGTGTCCCTTGGGGGCCCTGGACTCCAGGCTGGGTTATCTAAGTCCTTTCTTAGTGGCCTTAGGCAAGTTTTTAATTGCTTTAATCCTGGATTTGTTTGTAAACTGGAGCTGATAATGCAGTTATGAGGGGCCACAGGGCACATTCGGGGAAGACACACATCAGTGTCAGGTTCTACACAGATTCCACTGTAAATATTGTCCTGACTTGTGGCATTTGAGCAACTACAGGAAAGTTCTTGGAGAAGTCCGGTCTGATGAAGTCACTCTGTCCAGAGGGAATGACAATAAGGTTATCTTGGGAGACTTTGGGCTGTTTGAAGAGAAGAATCATTTTCCCTTTGCTTTGGCATGAATGCTTCCTTCACATGTCCAAGCCATCTCAACCCTGGTCTTGACGCCTCTGGCCCTTCTGGCCCTGCGATTCATATTTAGTCTTCACAGCCACAAGACATGTCTGCCACCAGCCAGCTTCCTCTGTCACAAATTTACCCTGGGGCAGAAAGCTCTGCTGTATCCCCAGTGTTTCACTGTCCTCTGCTGTGCTGCGAATGGCATCTAAGCATGACAGTGGCATCCACCCCACCCCTACCACCAGGGCCACAGCACTGGCCAGCATGGGTCCCCAGGAGCTTCAATCCAGACTCTGCAGACATTTTGGACTCCTCAGAGTTCACAGTGAGTGACTCCAGCTTGAAGTGACTTCCTTTCTTCCAAGGGTGTGTCTGTCTCACAGAATATACAAGCTGTCCAATAGGGCATGGTCCCAGAATATCAGATACGGGCCAGAAGGAAGAGAAACAGGCCTCGATGTCACCATTTCAAACTGATTCCCAGAAAGTGTTTAAAATGGCCACATTGTAGCTCAGTGCTGTGCTCAAGTTGGAACCCACTGTGGTCACTGCAATTCTAGCTGTATACGAGAGGACTCAGTTACTGAGATATCCACAGAGAATCTCAGGGTTGTCACAGTGCTTTGACACAAGTCGTCATATGTTACCTTAACAGCCTTGGTGTTAAATGTTAAGTGATTAATCAGCAAGACATGGCTTTCTCCCCGTGTCACCCAGCTCAGAACCAGTCAGGACAGTAGAATGAACTTAGAGTTCCAGGGTAGGGAAAGTGCATTTCTCCCAAATGTGTCCCCTTTTTTGCCCCCTTTGGGACACTGGAGTGCTGTGAAGCACTTGCAAGTCCAGGAATGTCTGTAGCCACATTTGGGAACTGCTGGACCTGCAGCATGGTATCCTAGCTTAGGCCCGTACCCTCACTGTCAACAACAAAATTGCACTGTGTGAAAAGCTACCATCCTTGTGCATGCCTGGAGCAAGCCGCAGGAGAGAGAAAGGAGCAAGCAGGCAGTAGTTCCTTGCTTCTTCAGGACAGGCCCCCTACAGCTCCAAGTCTGCCCAGGCTGCTCCCCAGCTCCCCAGGCCCAGCACTGAGTCCACAGGTGCCCCTCCCAGACTCACTTCACGTTACAACACTCTCCATGTGGCCACCCACTCCACAGGCTTGTTGCCAACAGACAAATCTCGAGATCAGTTTCCACTACCTAAGCCTTAGAGCAGTCGAGAGTATGACAGTAAATAACTTAGCCGTTGTGGGACTTGGCTGAATTATACCTATGAGGAGGCTCCCAAACCTCCTAAAGCCCAAGGAGCTGCTTCCCTCCAGCCAGCTTTACAGACTATCAGATGGCTGTTTGTCTCTGAACCGCCTGTTATCGGGATCATTGGCCTGTTCTCCGGATCGCTAGCGGCACCCACCCAATAGTCAGTGAGCTGTGTGAAGGTGGCTGTCGCTCACTGCAGGGTCTGGGGCGGGACTGAAGCAAGTGACCTGGCAACTCCTCTAACTGGCAGAATCTGACACTTGGTGTTGGAGTTCAGGGTTCCCCCTTTTCTGGCTGTCCCAGGAGTGTATCTCTCAAAGCCACTGCAGTTGCTTCAGTAAGCACAAGAGAGAATGAGATCCAAAGGGAGTTTCACCCAGGTACCTGTTGACTCTTGAGACAAGTGAGCACCCTGTGTGGATATTATCAGCTGTAAGGGGCACATTCCTTCCCCAGACTAGGTCTGGCACATGAAAGGGAAATGGGGAATATCACACCTACCCCCAATCCAGGGTCAGTGGGTGTAATGAGAAGGCATTTTCACAGAAAGCACTGGCAACAATTTGTGGTACATTTGCAACTATTTATCCTAGCCATTAGGTGGAGGCGTAAGGATCAGAAAGTCAAAGCCACCCTTGCCTGTGTAGTGACTTAGAAGCCTGCCTGGCCCTGAGTCTTCACTGCACTCTCCCTGTCCCCACCCCCACATGCTGCTGGTGTGTGTGTGTCCATCTTACAGAGCAGAGGACTATCTGATGCTGTAACTGCCTAGGGCCTACAAGAGTGCTGCTCTGTTCCAAGAAAGCCTGGACCAGCTGGAAGCTGCCGTCT